CTTTAAGTACAACACTGTGTAGAGCCACCTCTGGAGGGGAATGTGGTAGCGGTATAACAGCGCACAGTAACACTGCACAACATTTTAGGACCGGAAGTGAATAAGGATACCGCAGCCAAGTAAAACTACTGCTGCAAAGCGAAGGAGGCTGAATGTAAGTATTTGAGATGCAATTTAGTTAGGAAAATGGGGCTAGCACCCATGCACTTATGAACTCATCACCCATGCACTTATGAACTCATCACAGGATGTTTAAGGACCATGAGTGAGCAGGACCTCTCTTCTATTTTTCATCTAAGGGCCAGCAAGTTTATTTAGATCGGACATCTCAGCACCAGCTGATTAAAAAATATGTAATACTTATTTTGTTGTGTCATCTGTCTATTTCAATCAGTCACACCCTGTGTTCCTGCTCAGCGGCAAAATCCAGGGTGGAAGGGGTTAAATAGAATTAAAGCTGCCAATATTTTCACTCTGATTTACAATATGGTCACACACCTATTCCACACAGACAGTCCAGGTCAACGTGTATTGAGCAGGTACCATAGGTGGAAAGGACGTGCTATGGATGGGCCAAGAAAGCAGTGTTCAGAACTGGATTCAGTGAGGCAGGTGCTCAAGACCTGGTCTGTGGCTGAATCAAGCCTGGGGGGGTGGTTTGGGTTTGAATTTGACAGCAATGGAATTTCATGAGCTGGTCTCATGAGATTTCAGCCCCCAAACTGTGGAGATTTTTTAAGATCAGCTGCATCCAAAGCAGAACCAGAAAACTGGCTTTTCTGGGCCTGGACCTGACCTGGAACCAAGTCACACAGTTGGGTTCAGATCTGGGGGTTCTAATCCATATCCTCTTGAAATATGAAGGGATTTGGACTCCAGCTTCCAGTTTTGTCCCTTCTCTCACATATATAATGTCAAGAACTGGCTCGTGTTATATTGCACATCATAACTAACACATCAGACAATCGCAATAAAATATTACACTTTCAAAGAAAGAAAGAATCCACCAGTACAATCATTGGGAGTAAGCAGACTGTAATGAACTGCCCAGTGTGTCTGTGCACTTCTAATGCCTACAGGATAAAATCACAACTATTCAACTGTGTGTCATAGGCCCTCTACCATTAGCAGCTGATGGAGATTCTCCTTTAGCTCAAGTTTTGGAGGACTGTGCTATTGGAGCAGGTGGTTCTGAATTCTGTCCCTGCTGCTGCCACAAAGGTCCAAGTGCCCACAGTGGATAGCAAAGTGAGGTCCTAGGTGGCCTGGATTTACTACAAACTATCTGCATGCATTGGTTAATTTTAATGGGGGGGAACAGCAGGCAGCACCCATGGCAGCTGCCTGGCGGAACTACACCAGGTCACCTTGCCTGTGGTACCACTACACAGGAGCATTTGCTGCTGACGCAGGAAGTTCCAAGGTAAGTGGCTGAAACAGAAGCAAGGTAGGAGCACAGCGGTTACAATGCACCATGTCTCCATGCAGCATCTGCCGTGCAGGGGTTTCTGCAGACCCAATGCAACAACGGAGAGAAACAAAGGCTGAGGGCATGAGGAAGCCAGAGGGACCAGACCAGCTAGCCCCATCTTTGGGTTCAGCGTTGCAAACAGAAGCCCAGGAACACGCTGCTTTCAGCAAGATCTGAAGGGCCCATACACCCCCTCTCTGTTTCCCTTTTTCTCCCCAGGTCCATTAGTGTCCTAGGGGAAGCCAAAACTTTATTAGTGCCCTCAGTAAAGCTGAAACCAGGCATCCCTAGCAGTTCTCTTCTTCTTCCATTCCCGTTCTCCCTCCTCCCAGCCCATCCTGGGCCCTATCAGCCAAGTTGTCCTCCCCCACACGGGCATCTTTGCTGTTGCTGAGATACTGCAAGAGACGCCTCTAGTTCCCAAATGTGCTCCCAGGATCCTTTGCACTTGCTGGCAATGGGGCCTTGAAGGTGACAAGATGTCTCAGCTGCTGGGTGCCCAGGCTTCAGGGACATGTCTGGGCAGAGGGATGCCGGCTGCAGATTACTGAGAAGGAACCTGGACTCCTGCTTGGACAGGGGACCAGGATGTGCCAATGGAGAAGATCAGGTCAGACGGGAGAGGGTCCTCCGTAAAGCACAGCGACTGGCTCTGCCTCTGCCAAAGGTTGTCTCTGCCCCACCCCGTCTGTAATAACACAATTTAGTCCTTCTGTGGGGCTCCTATGCGAGGAGTACACACATCAGCAAAGCTTCCCAACCTGGTCAGGGGTGGGGCAGTACTGTTTTCCCCAGTTTACAGATGACTTAACTGAGGTTAAGTAACTTACCCAAGGTTACACACAGCAAGTCAGTGGCAGAGCTAGAACTAGGACACAGGTCTCTCGACACCTAGCCTCCAGCTCTAACCAGTGGACAACACTGCCTTCTCCCGCCTTCCGCCTCCTTGAGTTGATTCTGCTGTGGAAGGAGGGAAACAGGGTTTGTCCCATGCTGCTCATTATCACAACCCCCCCCACCACATTCCTTCATATGCACACAACAGAGACAAAATCTGCCCAATACCTAAAGCTTTACCTCTAATTCCTTGTGGGTATGAGCCCCCCCCCTTTGGCAGCATGCAGCTGCAGCCCACCGAATGAGGCAGGACGTCTCATGCTCACTCCAGGCCCACAGGCCTCGCAGAAAGGATGGCAGACTCTGAAGCAGAGAGAAGCACAGTGGCCTTCCTAGTGCAGAGATGGCAAGTATGCTGGAGTTACCTTTACCCCCGAGGTTAAATGGGTGAAGAGGGTGATGCCAAGGGTATGCCAAGGGAAGCAGCGGCAGCGTGGACGCATCAGAGCAGCAGGAACAGCTGGGCTATTGCTGAATCATGGAAAGCTAAAAGCAGATTAAATGCGTTCTCTCCAAATGCCTAGTCTCCAAAGTACAATCTGTTTGAAACAAATCAGGACTCAAACTAGCCTGGAAAATAGCCTGCCTGGAACATGAACTCCAGAGGGTGATAGGATGCAGCAGGGGAGGAAGGGATATATCTGTGTTTGAGATGGGCTTGACGCCAGGTCTGACCATGACACCCCCAAACATTTCAGAGAAGCCCTGATCCTGTGGCATGGCCCCATCTCTTGTCTGGCTGAATGTGTCACCATTGGGGTGTGTGTGCACGTTAGCGCATGTGAACATCAGTGTGCAAGGGAGGATTGGGGGTCTTGTTTCCTGTCTGGTCTGTTGGAGGGTCAGGTGTATGGTAGGTTGTGTGTATGAACGGTTGCAAATTGCTCTCAGGTGTTTTTCTAAATGTCTGCCATGGGTCTATCTATTGCTATGGGCAGTTGCTCCTGTGGCTTCTTGCAAGCTGAAAAATTAAGGTCTTACTACCAGAGAGGCCGTGAATAGGACCTAGGACTGGGCGTCAATATGCCCAGGCCCTATTCCCCACTCTGCTACTGTCTCTCTCTAACAAAGTGGCTCACCATTGGAGGCCTGGGGCTAACCAACCCTGATCACAGAATGAGCTACCCCTGGAGCTAGAGTGATTGCCCTAGAAAAAATAGCAGGAGGCTGCAATGGAGGTAAGGAGAGAGAAATACATACATACTTCCTCAGGGACTAGATTCCAGCCTGGGAGTGGCCTGCCAAAGTAGTAAAGGCCCCAGACAGGAAGGCTGGGAGGAGGACAAGAAACCTTTGTTTTGTGTGGACTTTTGGATGCACTTGAAAACTTCGTTTTGAATGTTTGTTAATTTAATAAAGCACCAGCTGAGAAGGGATGGGAATGGACAAGAGGTTTTTTTTTTTTGAGTTTCTTTAACAGTCCAAGAGGGGAAACTGAGGCAGACTGCCTGTTGTGTGACGCTCAGGCACATGGGAGGCAGCAGGCCTGGTTACTCTCCTTATGGCCTTGAGCAAGTCACTTCCCTGCCACTTGGTGTCTTGCTCTCTGTTCCATATGTGATGTAGTGTACTGTATCATTGGCTTAAAAATAATGAGTTAAAAAAAACTGGAGTTCTTATTTGCTTTCTGGCTTCTGACATTTTAGGGGCACCTGTGGGTCACATTGTCCAGTTTTTCTCTGCAATCATGAGGGCTATAAACTTTTTTTTAAAATGCAAGGCAAGAGCCTGACATAATCCCATGACTCCAGGAGCTGTGGCTTGAGGTAAAACACCAGATATCGTGAGACTCAGGATAATATCATGAGGGTTGGTAATGATGCATGAGCAGCTGGGTATAGAGTGTATTAAAATAATAATGATCACATATACCTGCACATTTGGGTTGGGTGTGTTTTTTTGTGTCTTGGGTTGCAATGTGGTGGTATCAAGTACCTGTATAAGCATGTGTGCTAGTGTCTGTTACTGGCAGGGCTCACAAACCAGCTTTTACATCAAAGAGGTTTATTCTGAGTGCTGCTAAATCCAGACTTCTCTGCTAAATCATTAAAAGCTTGTCAGCATGGGCAGAGATCCGTCAGCATTGCAGCCTGTCTCTTATGGCTGAAGCACAAGCTCCAGGCACAAAGGGCTTGCGGGGTAACATTTGTTCTTGGGATGTGGGGGGTGCTCGTATGTGTGTGTGTGGGGGGGCTATTGCCTTTAATATAATACTTTCCCTTTATTTGCATTCTCTCTGCCTGTGGGCAGTTGGACTGTGCGGTGCATCAGTGACGGCTGGGAAGCCTGGAGCCTTTTACGACCCATCGGAAGGGCTGTGAGACCCTCGGGTGTGGAGCAGAATGTCCGAGATCTCTGCTTCATGGCGTAACTGGGAGCCTTGTACTTCTCCCTACTTCGCTCTGACGCTGGCACAGGTGGCTATGGGAGCACGAGTGTGGAGCAGCTACTGGCATCTTTACCCCCTGCTCTGCACAGGTTTAGACGACGTGGTGGTCAAAACACTTGAGCCCTGGAGCTGCTCCAGTGCTAGGCAACGGTGAGGGGAAATCCTCATGGCAGATGATTCTATCACTGAAAGCTTGGGGCGGAAAAAGGAAGGAGTGCCCTGGATCCAGAACTACCACTGGGAGAACAGCTGTGCCCGTGTGAGAGGGGTCCTTGGATGGCTCCATCTCAGGACGATGGGCTTACTTGTGAGAGACAGTGGGGTCCTGTTGGCTAAACAAGCGGCAGGGCCTCAAGGAGGGCTTGAGTTCACATCCCTGCTTAGCCACTGGCTCACTGTCTGGCCTTGGGTAAGTCACTGACGGCCTGAGCCTGCGCCCATTGTAGAGAAGACAAAACTGTCATTTCTACATCAGTGGGAACAGGATCAGGCCATTCACTTCTCTGCCTTTGGTAACTGAGGAGTAATTTTTAGTTACCTGTTTCCCAGGGGTGTTGGGGGACAGATTAACATGTGTGAAGTGCTTTGAAGAGGGGACATGCCCTTTATGTGCTAAACCTTGTGAACTAACAGGGTCAGATCTGTAATTACTTGGATCCAGGGAACAGCCAGATTGGGTGCTGGGGTCGGGACTGGGAGATGTTCCCTAACCCAGAGTTTCCTGAACCAGTCTAAAACCAAATGCAGGAAAAATCAGAGAGGAGATCCACGTTCCAGTGTTTGACAATGCAATCCAACACTTCTGGCCTAAAGTGATAGATATTGACAGGGGGAGGGGGGGGCAATTCTGTAGTCCTTACTTAGGCAAAACTCCCCTTGAAGAGCTGCAGGATTCAGCTCACAATTACTGAGACTTTAGTTGCATTTGATCTTGATTACTGCTAGGGTGATGTACTGAGAATAGCTCCTTTAAACAGAGCAGGGGCCTGCTGTCTGACTGAATCACAGCTATCTTGTGGCAGATGAATCACGCAGCCTGCCACAGTATAGCTGCGTATTGGAAGCCAGACCCATTGATTGAAGAATGGCTAAAAGGAAAGAACAAGGCAATCTGCAATGCAAGGTCTGTAATATTCTAATTACTTCTGCACATCCAAGTGCAAAGAAGAGCAAACCAGAAATAAAATGTGCGTGGAACATTAAAATAGCAGAATGATTAACATTCAAACAGGAAGCTGTCGTACTGACAGTTTGATGGCTTACAATGAAGGCACAATCAATGCAGCATTTGCATACATAAGAAAGGCAGGAGACTTTCCAACGTTGTTGTCTGGAAAGCCTGGGTCATCTCACTTATTCTTATTTATTATTTGGAAGGGACTCTAGTCAAAGGGTTATATGGTGCAAGGAAGAACAAGTCAGGACTCCTGGGTTCTAGTCCCAGCTCCACCATTGACTGGCTTTGGACAAGTCACTTAATCTTAGTTTACCCATTTGCAAACTGGAAATAATAATACCCACCCACCTGAAAGGGGAGAGGTGAATATTACCAGTTGTCTCAGACAAAGGATGCTAGAGAAGCACAAAGGATTATTTCCCAGCAGGAGTCTAACATATCAAAAGGGCAGCTCCCAGCACCATTCACGGTTGAGGAAAGAACGAAACAAGGAGAGGTATGTCTAAAAACAGTCTGACCATCCATCTGCTAATACACTTCTAGAGATTGCTTTAGCTGTGTGGTACAGGGGCCAGGACACTGGATTAGGAGTCAGGACATCTGGGTTCTCATCCTAGTTCTGCCACAGAGCTGCTAAGTGATTGTCAGTAGTCACTTCCCCTCTCAGTTTCCCTGTTTGTAAAATGGGGATAACAATACTTACGTTCTTTTGTAAAGTGCTTTGGGATCTATGGGTGAAGTATCATTAATAGGATACTGCTCTACTTTAAATCAAAGGTAGTTTCGCCATTGATTTAAATGGCAGCAGGATCAGTCCCTAAGAATAAGTCAACTCAGAACAACCCTGCCGCTGCTGGGGACAATGAAAACAGCTGAGCACTGTTGAAAATGTGGCCTCGTAACTAATTCCTGAGGCTTTTCCTTTAAAATGAACATTCACAGCCAACAAACTTCCACATCTATTCAGCAATTCACAATCCCAAATTATTGCACATTTAAGCAAATTTCTCTCCAGTTCCCAGCTTCCTGTCTTTTTTCTCCTGTCTACTCAGTTTGTACTTCTGCCTGTCCGCCTTTCATTTCTCTGCGGCATGTTTCACCAGGTGCAGCTGATGGGAAAAGAGATGAAATATATGTAAGGAAATAAACAAAGTAATTCTCAGTCCCTGACAGTCAGTCACAGACAGACGCCCGCGTGATGTGTGTGGTTCTTCATGGCCGAGCTATTGCAAATTAATGCAGAACATGGCTCGAATGCTCACCTGAGAGCGCAAATACAGCCAAGGGAATTTCTGCTCTCCAGCGTAAGGGGGGGGGGGGAAATCAGAACAACATGCAATTATTTCATCATTAGATTTTAATCCAAGGAGAGCAAGGCTCTTTCTCGCCTTTCTTTATTGCTCCCACGGGCTGGGGGGAGATGCAACCAGTCTTTTCAAGATGTTTTTCTTCATTCCTTGGAGGTACAAGTTCCATAAAAGCAGAGTCAATAATTACAGCGGAGGATTTTCTGACTCATAAATTATACCTAGTAGCACTCACCCTATGGAGGGTTGTTTTGGAGGGGCGGATAGACGGTGAGGAGATAACTTTGTAGGTGACAGCAAGGTGCGTCTTACAAAAGGGACCTTGTTAAATAACAACAAAGAATACGCTATGGCTCTAACCGTGGTCCCACAGTTAAAACTGAGCTTGGATTTTGCCTTAGATTTTATACAGCACGTTCCATACATATATATAAAGCAACAACTCAGGTTTAGAATAGGTATCATTCCTCAATAGCACCTTAGTCCGTAACAACGATTTTGTGCTCAATGTCTTGTTCAAGGATGCTTAGAACACGGCTGCTTCCTGTGGAGGAGCAAGGAAGAGCTTTCCATCCTAGGTGTTGTGGCAGAAGCAGAGGGGATATCAAAATGGGTTTGCTAACTGGCGAGAGGGCTGTTGTTGATTGCACTAGCTGGCAGTCAGGGGCAGGCCGAGTGGTGATGCAACAGAGTCTGATGTGGCGTTGATGTCTGAGTGGCATGTGGCAGCATCGGCAAACTCAAGAGTTTGTTTCTGAACAATGTGAAATGCACGCCCACCCTGCCCCCGGTGCACACATCCATATGCCTCTCGTGTGCCTTAAAGCCCAGCTGTTAGTCACACTGTGTCCTGATAAGAGCAGGAAACTTAAGAGGAAAATACCCCAGGATGGGGATGGCCAGTGCTGCTGCCTCTGTTTGCCAGCTGGGAGCAGATGTCACTTTCTCACTCCAGAATGCGCTCCCTTTTTTTGACTGGTTCTGTGATCTCCTGTCAACCCAGCCCACTCTAAGCTTTATTAACAACGTCTTATATAATAATGTTATTGGCAGTCACGCTGCACTATCAGTGCGAATGCTGAAACAGAGGATCTGCAGTTCCGGGCCACTGGGCTCTACTGACAAGTCACTTTTATTTTCCTATTGAACATCTTTATGAAGATGGAGGACCCTCCTCACTGGGCAATAAGGGGCCCACCTTATTGAGTTCACCCCCTTCCTAGTTACTGCTGACCCCTGCCTTGTCAGTCTGACTTTCCTTCCTAGCTCATAGCATTACGTCTGAAGAGCAGATATTTTGCCTTTGTGATACACAGCCCGTATAGCTTTAGCAAAACAGTTCCCTGAGGAGGTTGCAAAGGGATCAACTTCTCGCCACCTTCCAAACTCAAACACTGTGACTGAGGATGCCTGAAGCTACGGGCCTGTGGCAGCCTCTTCATTTGTTCTTTCCGGTAGCAGGGCAAGACGCTCAGACACCTGAATTCTGCAAACCACAGAGGAAAAAAAACCATCAGCCCCACAATCTTCTTTAACTGTCTCACTGACAGGCTCTAAGTCCAGGAAAGAAATTCCTATTCTATTAACCCCTTCGAGGCCCTACCGCACCCAAAAATCTCATGAGGGGAGAAGAATGGAGGAGGTTTGTAGAATAAATGCACCAAAAACACTGACAAATGTAAGGAATTCTTCTCGTGGCTAGGCTGGTAAATAGAGATGATTTTAAGCTGTATATATTAATCTTCTGACAGCTGAAGGCATGTCAGATGTCCCTAGGCAGGGGCCGCAGGTTTGTATAATTTTTGGTGGTGCCCAGAACGGGTCCAAGTCCCGCCCGCCCCCTCCCACCTAAGGCCCTGTGAGGGAGTTTGAGTGCGGGAGGAGGGCTCTGGGAGGGAGTGTGGGTGCGGGCTCTGGGCTGGGGCATGGGGTTGGGGGGCAGCTGGTTGGGGGGCAGGAGCAGGTGCAGGGAGGAAGTTGGGGAGCAGGCTCTGGGCTGGGGCAGGGGATTGGGGTGAGGGAGAGGCTGAGGGGTGCAGCACTTACCTCGGGCGGCTCCCAAAAGCGATCCGAACCCCCCTCTAGCAGTAGCTCCTAGGCAGGGGGCCGGAGGGGTCTCCACGTGCCACTGCCTGCAGGCACTGCCCCCACAGCTCCCCTTGGGTGCAGTTCACAGAGTCGGCACTTGGGGCTGGGGCAGCGCGTGGAGACACTGCCCCCCCAGGGACGTGCCGGTGGCTTCCGGCAGCTTCCGGAAGCAGAACAGGGGGACAGGAAGCCACCTTAGCCCCATTGTGCTGTTGGTGGTGGTGACAGGGGACCGGGGCTCTTTTAAATTGCCTGGGGACGGCAGGCGGGGCTGGGGGGGGGAGACCCGGCCCCGAACTTTGTGGAGCTAGGCCCCTGTGCTCTCATATTGGTGGAGCACAGGCACCACGGGCCCATACAACTCGCCGCCCTGTCTCTAGGTGCCTCGCGAGATAGTCTCTAGTCAGCTCCCTGCCCACCTCACTTCCCTTCAGTCTATTTACTGATGATACCCACGACAATAACCATCACCATTCCAGGAACACAAAGTCTTTACTTAGGGCAGAGTATTCAGTGTCAAGCAGAGCTGTGTGCTTTTTTGGGAAAAAAGGAGTGTTTGGGGGAAGGCTAGTGCCCTCAGATGCCAAGGTGATGGGCATGGCCTGAACAGAAGAGAATACAACAGTGTGAGTGTGTGAGGAGAGTGTGTGTGTCGGGGGAGAGTGTCTATGCATTTGAGGGGAGTGTGGGTTTGGGGAATGGGTAGGGGGATGTCTGGGGAAGGGATGTGAATGGATACATAGGTATTTATGGAAGGGGTGTACGCTTGTGGAGGGGGTATGTATGCTTGGGTAGGGGTGTGTGTTTGGGGAAGGGGTGTATGCCTGCATAGAGTCTGTGTGTCTGGGTCAGGGTATGGGGTGTGTGTGGCTGAGGTGTTGGGGAGCATAGCGAGGGCTGCTAGAGCAGTGTTGGTGCTCAGAATTCATACAAACATAAGAATGGCCATACTGGGTCAGACCAAGGGTCCACCCAGCCCAGTACCCTGTCTTCCAACAGTGACCAGTACCAGATGCTTCAGCAGGAACAAACAGAACAGGGCAGTTATCAAGGGATCCATCCCCTGTTGTCCAGCCCCAGCTTCTGACAATCATCAGTTTAAGGCCATTCTGAGCATAGGGTTGCCTCCCTGAGCATCTTGGCTCATAGCCACTGATGGACCTATTCCCCCCCAGGAACGTATCTATTTATTTTCTGAACCCAGTTTGTAAATTCCTTCCTTCACATGGAGTTTACTCCTAAGAGCCAGGGGGGCTGGGGGAAGAAGGGAAGCTGGTGGAACAGGGGCTGGGGGTGCGAGCGAGGGGAAGGCACCTGGCGGAGGATGGGAGCGGCGGGGCGGGGGCGCTGCCGGCCGCCTGAGTGATGGCGCTGCGGCTCCCGTGACCGGCTCAGGGAAGCATCTCTCCGCTCCGTGCCAGCCCCGTCCCTTTATAAGGGCGGCAGGCGCCCGGCGCCGGTGCCAGAGCGGCGGGAGCTTCCTCGCACAGCAGCGCTCGGGGCCGGGGGGTCCCCGCCGAAGCGAGCAGCCGCAGGGGTGGGGGAGAAACCGGGGCTCGGCAGCAGGGACTCCCCCCATCCCATCCCATCCCCGGGGGAGCAGCGGAGCCCCCCGATGCCCGGCGGCAGCGCGGCGCCCCCGCCCGGCGGAGACCCGGAGCTGGCCGGCAGCGGCGGAGCGGG